ATCCTGATTGCTGTTAGGGCTCAGGAGCAAGCCATCCAAAGCAGCATGTAGGGAGAATAAAAGAAGCAATTTAATTACAGCTATGTGCCAGCCTGAATTTTCAAAAGCCATCCATCCTCTTGCCTTCTGAGGCTTTTATCTGGGGGAACAAGAAGGAATCTTGCAATTGCTCAGGACTTATTTTGTTGAGGAAAACCAAGTCTGATGGCGCTAAGTTGCCCCTGACAGGAGAGAGACATTCTGTGGAAACCTTAAATCCGTGAACAGAGAAGTCAAACTCTAACTCTTAACTTTAACTCTTAAAATTTCTTTAAGTGAAATTTTAAGTCAAATCAATAGTTTTCATAATATTATAAAATATTTTCATAATTCTGACAGAATTCTAGATGATGTAGGAAGAAGCACAGTAATTCATGGCAGGAAAAGCAATGATGAGAACCTACTTAAACGGAAGGCAAAAGGAAGCATGAGGAAGAGGGCTTTCTGGAAAGATGGAAACAAACACATTTCCTAAAATACATATTCTCTGTTCACCTAAGTGCACATTTTTACCAAATAGTAAAAAATGTAATACTTTCACAAGTAATACCACGTTTTATGTATGCTGTAAATAGAAAAATCAAAGTCACTTACATGTGGCTGTCATTTAATTACATCATTGATCCGTAGCCACTCTAAGAGGCAGCAGCTCAAGCTCATCGTGACAGGAGGAGGGAGCCTGTAATAACAGCACCAACGGTGGACCACTAACATTTTCTCCAGAACAACAGGTAGGCCAGCACTCCATTCCAAGCTCATGAAAGCCACACAGCTAAAAGAGAAAACTGTTTCTTATAAAGATGTACTTTCACACTTGGGAAAACATCAAGTATTTTTGCAAGGCCAGACTTTTTTTTCCATGCAACTGTTACGTAAAACCCACCCCAAAGGGATGAATTTTGGCAGCTTCATTTGGTATAGTTACCAGATGGAATCCTATATCTCTAGAAACACCAGTCAGCATCCAATCTAAAATCCAAACACTCTTAAATATAATTCCTTGTCAGAACTTCTCCAATAGCCCTGGAGAATTTTACAGTTGAGATAGCCCTCAATTACTTTACATGACAGTATTTCTATAACTCCTAGTCTTACACCATAATATTTAAAGGCTCCTATCCATATACTTCTCAGGCCTTTGAAGGAACCATCCACTTCTCTTACTCCTTAAATGGAAGCATCTTCCTACTTGATGTATGCCTTTCTGTAGCATAACAGCCTGAAGGAATGCTCCACTGACAATCAAATGGCAGCAAAATACCAAATCAGGGTTACAAATCAACACCTTTGTGGAGCAACAGTGACACCCAGTGCCCATTGAGTAAACCTGAATTCCTGTTGATTATGAAAACAGCCTCGATACGAAATTCTTCAAAAATAGCAAAATAGAGTTGCGAGCATATACTTGTGAGAATTACAGCCATTCACTTACTTTGTGTCAAAACAGTTAACAGAAACGTGTCTAATTTAAAAACTCCAAATAAGGCTGGTTTGGATGACGTAGTGATGTTTCACAAATATAAAATCAAGCAGCCAAGGATCTTTGAACACAGCTACTAGGCAACGCCTTTGGAACTGCAGACAAGATTGCAAAAACACTGAGATATTCCCAATATTTCTCTGCCTTAACTCTCACTTTCCCTATATGATTACATTTTGGGGCAGTTACTAACAGAGCAAAACACTAAATGTATCCAAAATGCAGTATAACAGGGTTATTTCATTTGTCTTCTTAAAACAGACTTTTTTTTTTTTAAAGCACAGAAGGCAAAAACGTTTTTGTTTTAAAGAGAGAACAAACTAGAAATTAACTGAAGCTATAAGAAAAAAGTACAAAGGCTAGTCACAAAGTTCAGGTTGCAGCAGGATTAAAAGACGTTACCAGAATCTGCTGTCTCTAAGGGAGCAGTAGGATTATTCTATTTTAACAGCATATAGATTCTGGCTAAAGCCTATTAAAATCTATTTTAGTTATGAATAGTTGGCTCTAAGCAGATTGATACGAGTTACCACCACATTGTAAGAAAAACAAACATATCTTAACAACATCAATCATTGCCTGATACCTCGTTGTCTTTTGTTCATAACTTTTTAGTGTAAACAATGCATGTTACGGAAATTCATATTTACGTTTTCTTATAATTTATATACGTTTCCCTAATTCATATCATTTAAGATAAACTGCAAAGATTTTTTTTTTATGAACAAATCCCTTGCTGACATCTCTTCCAGCTGGTCACTGTCACCTCTCCGTTAGCTGGGGGGTCAGAAGCCTCTGTAACGGGCTCCTAGAGGAGAAGCAGAAGTCCAGCACACATTCCCCGTCCTCGCAGAGCCATCCCAGAGCCCGGCTCCGCACTGCACCCGGGGTAGTGCTGCAACACGACAGCACCTGGGGATTTCACTCCCTGTGCTCTGGCTTTAAGGATGTGCCATTTCTAGGCAGCCAAACGCGGAGCTAATTAACTTTCAGCACAAGCCTCACCTCATCACATCTTCCTAATGGGCTGCGGAAAACGGCACAGGGACACCTTCAGTTTGAGACAATCAGCTCAGGCTGCCTAACCCGGGCCTGAGCTGCCCCCCACAACCACAAAATGCCTGAATGTTCCCCCCCTTCGCACTGCTTGTTACCTCAGGTGCAATCAGAGCGAAGCAGGCTCTGCTTATGAGCCACCCACAAAGAGGGACACCAGAAGGACCAGCAAAGGCGACGCTTCAACATTGCTTGGGCCAAATACAGCTGAGCGAGCACACACCGGGCAGCTGGTGTGCACCCACCCAGACAGCAACACAGCACCCTGCCAGGGTGCCCGTTCTTGCAGAGCAGACCAAACCCCAAGGACAGCTCCACACAAGGTCAAGCTGTCCTGGTTTCAGCTGAGATGAAGTAAGTTCTTCTTCTTAAAAAGAACTTACTCTGCCCCAGCTGAAATGAGGACACAGTGCACCTAATGCTGCCGGGGAGCCTGGGCACTGCGCCGTGTTGGAGCAACACTTCTGCAGTCATTCTCGTTCAGCCTGACGCTGGAGAAAGGGCACCTGCCAGTTACAGACTGGTACAGAAACCAAAGCAAACTGCACCTGCAGCCTGCAGGTTACCTGACCACTCAGCGTCTGTAGCTGTTACCATGCAGCACCGCTTAATTATTAAAACAACTTGAGAAAGGACATCTCTTAATTATCAGCCAGAGAAGATAAAGCAGCTGGTTTTACCATGGAGCAAATATGCAGCAGAAAACTTAAAAGTAAATTTATTATTCACTGCTGTTATCTCCTCTGGACTGTAAGTTGCTCAGGGAGTTTACACAGCACTGAGCAGGCAGCAGGCTGAGACACCCAGTCAGTTAATGACAGAATCAGGGAACGGTTGGGTTGAAGGGACCTCCAGAGGTCATCTCGTCCAGCCCCCCTACTCACCCAGAACCACCTAGAGCTGGTTGCCCAGAACCATGTCCAGAGGACTTTTGAGTATCTCTATGGAGTCTCCACAAGCTCTCTGGGCAACCTGCCGAGGTGGCTAAACTGGAAAAAGGAAGACCTGGCTAAGGGCCTAAACGGCAAAAAGCATAAAAATCAAGGAAAGGCAAAAGAAGCAGTTGTCAGACAATTCAAATAATCTAAGGAAAGTATCTGTTATGGTAGAAACAGCAACTGCTTCCAGAAATTTAGGTTTCTGCTAGCACAGCTATACACAGTAGACAGGGAAGCAAGCCCTGCTGCTGGGAAGAACAAAAAGAGAAACTTGTGATGATTATAACCATCAAAACCACATTGAACTTAGTTCCAACGTGCAGTTTCCTATGAAAAAGTACTGTTAACTTTTCGGCCATGATTGCACAACCATCCATGCTAAGAACGCGCTAATACAAAAGCATTACTTACCACAGACACCCAGTAATGTTAAATTGAAAGCTGCAATTCAAGAGGAACCAACTTTCACAGCACTACTACAGTGGACAAAAAGTCCACCTGGTGCGTAATACATGGTTAACAGCAAAACCCAAAGTGCATGAGCACAGAAATGCCAGGACTCCCATCTCCAGTTAGGTGGCTGTCAAAATTCCACAGATGAGGACATCAACAGCCATGATCCGCACAACCTGGTTAAGTTTCTGTAGAAGGGCACACAAATGGCTACACCCACCTTTAAGACCCACCACTGCAGTTGAACTAAAACATTCCAAGCCCCACCATTAAGTCTCCCACCACATGTTTGGGCAAGTTTCCTTAACCCACTCCATTAAAAAAGGAGAGACAACAGATTTCAGAGGTAAGGCCCTGGCTTTTGGCAAGAAGTGTGTAAAAACATTTTATTTAAACCAGGAAGTTATACTGCTCAGTCAGGTACTGCCATTCAGCATTTAAGAAAGCAGTTTCACTACAGCCAGGGTGTTAAGGCAGCTCTCCCACCTGCCCACCCCTGCACCAGCGCACTTCTGACCACAGTCAGCCTTTCCCCAAGTCCCACAGTTCAGCAAACCAACACTCCACACCCGCTTCTGTAAAAATTTACTTTCAACAAGGCTGTCAGGAACAGACAGGAACTGTTCCACTCTAGAAATAGCAACCCACAGCACAGCAAATGACGCCCATGCTCCCGTCACTTCGGGGCAGTGCCACGCAATGAACCACTCACGCACAGAACCAGTGAATGTAAACACAAGTCCCCAAGTCACACCAAAACCCACACCACTTCACTGACATGCCATGTTTATTTGGTCTGTGGCTTTCTAGGGTCTTTAAAAGAAGGTATTAACGCTTCCTGGAAATAGAATTGTGTTAAACACTAGGAAGAACGTTGCATTAGTGCTTAATTTAAGACTTTAATCCAGATCCACTTCACCCACAAGGTCCTTATTATACAAGCAAAGAGGCTTAAACTGCCACAGAAGAAAGCTGAAATAAACACGTCACTGAACACACCAGTTTTACTCACTTGAACTGAGACAGACTAAAAATTGTGATGTGCAACAGAAAACTTTATTAGCATTTCAACAGACAAGTTGTTCAGCAGTTACTTGAGCTTGCATTAACCTTGCATTTTAACTTAAGACATTAAAGACCTACAGTGCAAACACAAGTGCTATTGGCAATCTTGTTGGCAAGCAAGATGCACAACAACTTAACAGCCACCCCTCAGGCGCAGCACAAGATGGAGGGTGGATTCCTTCTGGATGTTGTAGTCGGACAAGGTGCGCCCATCTTCCAGCTGCTTGCCAGCAAAGATCAGCCTCTGCTGATCAGGGGGAATGCCTTCCTTGTCCTGGATCTTGGCCTTCACATTCTCAATGGTGTCACTGGGCTCCACTTCAAGGGTGATGGTCTTGCCAGTCAGGGTCTTCACAAAGATCTGCATGCCACCCCTCAGGCGCAGCACAAGATGGAGGGTGGATTCCTTCTGGATGTTGTAGTCAGACAGGGTGCGCCCATCTTCCAGCTGCTTGCCAGCAAAGATCAGCCTCTGCTGATCGGGGGGAATGCCTTCCTTGTCCTGGATCTTGGCCTTCACATTCTCAATGGTGTCACTGGGCTCAACCTCAAGGGTGATGGTCTTGCCAGTCAGGGTCTTCACAAAAATCTGCATGTTGAACTGCAAAACATACACAAGTTCCAGCTTTAGCTACTCTGTGAGACAGTCTTCAATGCCTCTTAAATAAAAGCAATACTGCTGCTATTTCACACTAATGAACAGCACTTGGGATTTTAGAGGTTTTTTGATAAAAATTCCCTACAACCATTACTCAATTCTTTCCTTCGACTAACTAAATCTCTGAGGCTCAGCATACTACATCCCTGTCACAAAACCCTTACGCAGCCCCTCACCCCTCGGCTCCCAGATCCCCCT